GAAAAGAATGCACGTCACACCTCTGTTTATCAGTTTGCACTGGCTACCAATAGCTGCTCGCATAAAATTCAAGGCATTTATATTTGCCTACAAAACCACCACTGGCTCTGCACCCCTTTACCTAAATTCATTACTTCAGACTTATGTGCCCTCTAGAAGCATGCGTTCTGCAAGTGAACGTCGCTTTATTGTGCCATCCCAAAGAGGCACAAAATCACTTTCACAGACTTTTAAATTAAATGTTCCCTCCTGGTGGAATGACCTGCCCAACTCAATCCGAGTCCTTAGCCATCTTCAAGAATCGGCTAAAAACACATCTCTTCCATCTTTATTTGACCCTCTAACTCTAGCACTCTCTATTCTAATTCTATTCTTCAAAAAAAAAAATAACTTGTCCCTTTTAGACTCATTTACTGCTTGTTTTCTTTAAAAAAAAAAACTAACACTAGCTTTTCTAATCTTTTCGTATTCTATCTATTTGTTTTCTTTTTATTTATTATACAATTAACAACAGCAAAAAAGGCCTCTAACACTAGCTTGCACTATTCTTTTTCTATTCTGTTTTCTTTTTATTTATTATATAACTTTAAAAAACCTTGCTACGTGTACTGCGTTAAGCTAACTGAGACTTGTTATAGCACTTGCATATCATTGCTCTTTTGTTGATTTTGATTGCTTCCATTGTCCTCATTTGTAAGTCGCTTTGGATAAAAGCGTATGCTAAATGACTAAATGTAAATGGAATGTATAAATGTAAGAATTAGGCCACTGTCTCTCAAACCTTGACATTGAATGGAAGTCGGTTCTCTTTGAAGGCATAGAAGTTGAAGACGAGTTGCTGACCACTCTTTGCCAGAGGAGTGATGTTGCCATAGCATTCAACATGAATGGGCTTACCCTCCAAAATCTGACAAAGGAACGAGTGACAACTCATTAGCATTTATACATTTATGTCTCTATGGTGTCAGTAAATGATCAGAAAGGTTATTGTGTTTGAATACTGGAGAATATGAGCGTGTGGGTGTTTATATGAAAATGGCTTGTGAATTACAGTGAAAAAAAGTTTATTGGTACATGTTCTGTCGTGTTTTTTTTCAATGGATTTTCCTTTGTGTGTATATACACAAGAATATTCACAAACTCATGACTCACTGTTTCCAAACAGTGTGTTCAACATGAATTATTTATGTGAACGTGTGTATAGTGCGTGCATGTGTGTAGGGTAGTGTGTGAGTTACAGTGGCACACCTCAATGTCTTTGCTCCTTGCCACCTCCTCAAAGTTCTCCTGCTGCTCCAGAGTTTTGTCGACTTTGTCGTCAGTCATGCAGAAGCAACGCAAGCGGGTCTCTATGGGGTCAATCATTTTAGCAAACACCACAAACTTGGCCAGGTACGGAACACAGATCAGCTCTCTGTACAGCTGAGATGCTAAACCCACAGTCTCGCTGATCTGCTGACAGTCTGCCAACCAAAATCTGCAAAAGGAGTGGAAAGAATTCACCTAGAATAAGGAAAATCCTGTACAATTCAAAAATTTTCACAAATATTTACTTTCTCTGTTACAACTCCATGGGACAGAAAACCTTGGTTCTAAGATGTTTACATGATAGAAGTTACGGACACAATATCTTTAGTCAGTTGTCTTCAACACTGAAACAAACACTGAATGTTTATACAAATGGTGCTCAGCGGGTTGATTGAAACCCAAAAATGGGCCGCAAATCTGTTCTGATATGTTCATAGACAAAATGTTAAAGGGATCCTATTGTGCTTTTTCAACTTTAGTTAGTCTATAATGTTGCTGTTTGAGCATAAAAAAGATTGCAAAGTTACAAAGTTCCAAGTCCACTTCAAAAGGAGATATTTTATTTAACAGAAATCACTTTTTAAAAACTACAACGAACAACTCGTTTGGACTACAATGCATATTTTCCATATTTTTTGTGATATCACAAATACCGACGAATGGGACGAGACCTGGTTGAGCTGCACTAGAGAAGGCAACGAGTGTTATCTCTATGTCGGAGACACGCTAGCTTTCCCAAGGCAGACGAACTTAGAGTGGTTACAATCATTCAGGTTTAAATTGCGCTCAAATTTACTTGATTTTGAGCAATATTTACACTGAAGCTCGCAGCATGGCAGCTATGGTAAGGGGCATGACATTTCCCGACCAGGCGCCGAGTGGTGCCAATCACAACACACACTGGCCCAGCTAACCAATCACAGCACATTTCGTATTTCAGAAGGCGGGCCTTTATTTGATACAGGAACTATTCGAGCCGTTCATGCCAGACTGGGGAGAGAGGTGTTGTAATAATGTAAAATATGTGAAAAATAATGTGTTTTTCGAACAACCTAGTATGAGACCCTGTTCTAGTACACCCCCAAAACAAAATCAAGACATTGTAAAAGAGCATTATAGGACCCCTTTAAATGCAAAAAGCAAAATAAGTCTATAGAAGCATGCATATTTAGGAAATAAATGCTTATCAAAAATGATCATTTTATGTGGACAACACATAAAATAAAATGCAATCCAAACTACATTAAATTGAAGTTTACTTGCAACAAGAATAAACATGGTTTACTTTTAGCATATTTCTGAGCTTATATAGTTCATTAATTTCAATGTTTGATTTTAAGAACATTTTTGTAATGAGCTGACACTCACAAACTGGTGAATGACATAATTTAGAGAGCTTTTGAGCAGAAACATAAGCAAATTCCTCACAATATTTATAGAAAAGGTATCTGTTCTTCAATGACGCTATGTAAACCTTCCAATTCTCACCAACTCTGTCACAGTCTGCAGTCATATTTGAGTTCAATCAGCATCTGACATTGTGGATGTGCAGATGAACATGATTATAATGATATAATTTAATCTAGGGCAGAGATCCTCCACCGTCCCCCACTCCAAAGCACATGATTTGAATCTGCATCTGACTCCAACATCAGCTGAGACTAACCTGGCAGACACATTTGTGGTGAAGGAAACACAGTCTGTAACAAAGGAGAGTGGAGTGGTCCCAGTGATGTCTTCCCACTGTGCAGGGGATGTTCCACCTAAAAACAAAACAGTTTTGAACACCGGTGTTGGGAATCACTTTTATCACAATACTTTGTGGGATGCGTAATAATTTTTTTGGTTTTAATGTGAAATTTCATGTCACTTGCAAATGCATGTTTTATCTCAGATTTTCCTGACTTTTAACTCTGTATACACCAAAGTAAACACAAATGTTGAATTAAAATTCAGATGGGGCATCTCAAATAACCTGCAGTTGTTGTTGCATTTTCATTTGGCCATGACAACCTGACATTTTCCCCATTTCATTTTAAATACACGCACAAACTATTCACGTGCCTGTAATGCTACAGAGCAGTCTAAGGCAGGGGGCAGGTTCTCCTTTGCGTCCATTAGCAACAGCCTCTTTGGCTCTGGGCGGCACAGGGATTGTCATTGTGATGGGCTTGTGGAATTTCCTCCTTCTGGGCTCCACGGTTACAATCGGGCTGAAGGATGCACGGTTACTAGTGATAGTCCGCACAATGTCTTCTGGCACAGGCTGAGCCTGAGAGAGAAACAGAATAAAGTGGTATGATGAACAGGAGAAAAAAAACAGAAGAGCATCTACAGTGCATATTTTTCTGCACCATTGCTGTTTTTTTTTTTGGTTCATGTCTCATGGACATTTTGCATAACCACTCTAGGCATGTGCAACTAATTAATCATCCTCGGAATGTATATAGCTTGTTATTGCCGTAGTTTTCTGACTTGTTTCTTGTGTAACATGTATATACTTTCAGTTTTATTGTTATGGTCATGAGATGTTTACCAAGAAATGTATCCTGACCACTGCTGGAAGTTACTGTCCAAAGAACAGATGCTATTCTGCTATTATGTCTGTGTTCTGTGAGAAAACACTCTACTATAGTGTGTGTGTATGTGTGTGATAGAGAGAAAGAATGTTCCCAGAGCCCCTTGAGATGATAAAACAGGTCAGTTTTATGTAAATTGCTGAAATTAATTCCACTTACGAATCATTCAAAATATTTTGTGAATCAATTACACTTATTTCTTGAAAAAAAAACTGACTCGAAAGAAAAAAAAATCACTGGAAAACCAAAAATCATTATGGCTTGCACGCAGTTTTTAATCTATACAAACTCTACAACAAGATCAATATATAGCTTACTAAATATTTAAAATTGATAACCATAAACAGAAATTTTCTATAAAAAATTTAAATTCCCTAATATTTCCAGGTATTCCATAAAATAAAATAAAAATAAAATAAATTTAATACAAAAGCTTGACCAAACATAATTTGACAACAACCATCTTGATAAGTTCTTATACCTGTAGTCCAACACGAATCTTCTTCGTAAGCGCTCCCTGAGGAAAGGCAGCCTTCACCATGGTAACTGCCTCACTGCTCAGGACTCCGCCCTCTGGTCCCATGTAATCACTTTCTTGTTTGATGCGTGACACCACCGCAAAGTACTGTGGGAAATCTTTTGTGATGATGCGGCAAATACGTTTTTTCTCCAGCTCTGCTGGGCTGTCCATCTCTGTAATTAAATATGAAAATACAAACAAACAACATTATAAAGATTTAATGAAAACTACCCATGAGGTACTTAATGAAAACCATATTAGTCTGAAGTTTTAGTTATGTCATTAGTACATTACCCTCATCCATGCCATTGAGGATCGAGATGAGCTCTGTCACTTTACAGTCATAATGATGTTCTTTCCAGGTTTCTCCATTATCACTGCGTAGGACGATCAGCTCCCTCTCCTTTCCCCGCATGGAGCCGAAATGAGGAATTTCAACTATCACAGGCCTGAAATGAAATGAAGACAATAAGGGGAGAATTCATTAAACAGATGGGAAATTGCACCATGCATATTGCGTTCAGCACTAATTTGATTAGAATTTAAGAAGGAAATGCTGATTCTACTCAATCTGAACTCATTCCTCATTGACATTTTTGTCAAAAAGTTAAAAACGAATGCAATTAGGCCAAGATTAAGTTGTTCATGATGTATCTGCTTTTACTGCGAAACTACAGATAATTTAAGCCACCATAGAGGAACTCTTACCCCAAAAACTGTGCCCCGGCTGGCCCCATCTCCACAAGCCTGCTCACAAGACCCTCTCCCTCCACCATAGGGGGTGGGTACGCCAGGCGGTGCCTCTTTGCTAGGCGGCAGGTGATTCGCGTCGGTGCTGGACACTTCCTGGGTGGAATGATTATACGCATCCCATCATGACGACTTCCTCTCATTGACCCACCCCGAGCGTCCACCATGAAACTCACTAGGAATCTACAAAAAGAGAATAAAGGATTAACGGAAGAGAAAGAGAGAACGAGATGAAGAAAGAAAGAGGGACACCACGCTAACCCACTACACAGACACGAACGAGTGAGAGACGATTCCCATGCTGTGATCACTGTACACCCAACACACGTGGTAAGAGAGAGAGAGAGGGAGAAGGGAAAGGTCTAAGCAGAAATGAAAAGGAGGAGAAACAGTAAGTGAGAACAGACCATTAAAGTGAGAGAGATAGAGACAGTTTAGTCAAGACAGGAAAAACAATTAAAAAGAGTGACAGTGCTTCGAGCTGTTAAACCTGGCAGCATTTAGTCCCTCATACAACAGCAACAGAGACACTTCAACAGGAAACACAAGGGATTCCTTCAATATTGACTTACCAAAATATTACCATAGTCACTGTTCTCATGACTCGGTGTGCAAAGCTGAAAATAATATCCTGTTTACTGCCAAGATCAATTGTTTCGAAGCAGTGATCAACAGTGTGACCAAAAGCACCTCCACAGGTGGACAGAAACCCCAAAACACCCATTATCTGTTAATGTGAGCTGAATGCAATTTATATTTGCAAGTGCACTGCCATTGTGTTACATATACATGAGATCCTAACACTGATGACAAGGGCTGGGCGATAAAACTTTTTTTTTTTTTTTTTTACAACAAATGGCATGTCAACATATTGGTGATATTCAATATATTAAAACTACCATTCAAAAGATTTTTAACAAAACATTTAATGAAAACATTAATGTTGTGAGACATCATATTATCATTTAAAAACCTGTTTTCTATTTTAATATATAACATTCCCGTGTCTTATATGCTGTTGTGGTGCTCAAGAAACATTTCTTATTATTATCATCAATGTTGAAAATAGTTGTGTTGCTTAAAATTTTAATATATTTTAAGTGTAATATTTTTGATGAATAAAAAGTTCATAATAACATTTTTCAAATACTGACAAAATATCCATTTAAAATGTTTAATGTAAGAACTAAAATGGTAAAAATCTTAAAAAATAATAAAGACATGTTTTTCCACACTATTTTCAAAGAATATAACATTTTTAATTAAAACAATTTAATATATGCCACTCACAAGACTTGCAGGAACATTAGTGAAGTAGTGAATCAATTTAAATACAATATACTGTTAATTTTCAATATATCGCCCAGTCCTACTGATGAAATGGTGCAGCTTTAACAGGTCATTTCTAACTGTGAAATGCAGCACATTACAAAAAGCTCCCTTTTACCACAAAATGCCTAATGTGCTGATGGTGGGACTAGTGTGTGTAATAAGTGATCTGGAATTTATTTTATGACTGTGCTGAATTTTCTGATTTCTGCATGAGATGAGGTCCATTTCCCAAAGACCGGCTAAACACACAGTGTGGAGAAGCGCTTACACAGATGAGGAGATAAAACGGAATAAAACACCAGAAAGCAGGATAGAGATAAAGAGTTTAAGAAAACAGGAGAGGACAGATGAAAAAATAGGGGGAAAAGACAGGACAGAAAGCTATAGAAAGAGGGATGTCACCGGACTCAGTTTTCACCTGGAGTCATACTGAGGAAGCGGGGAGGAAGGGCTGCAAAAGGAAAAATTAACGAAAAGAAAAAAGAACAGAAAGCAGGAGGTAAAAAAATAAACAACATTCATTATTACAGTTGCTGTCATGGTAAAAAAAGCTGACATACATGTAAGAAAAACATGAAGCTGATGTCAAAAATCAGATCTGTGCAATGTAACAGAAAGTGTGGGGGGAAAACTAAAGAAAATCAAAATGTGCTTTATGCAAACAACTCAGTGAAGCCAATGAAAAGCTTTTCACATGCTTGCCCAAAACAGCATCATGTTTGCAGACTGGTTAGATTAAATCATCTTCCACCAATCATAAATGGTATCGTTATAATGTGCTAATGGGGTGCTCAATCCCCCTTAGGAGATCTAGGTGGTCAAAAGCAATACGTTTTAGCATTGAGATTATTGGGAATTCTAAGAGAATTGCAATTCATTTGGTGCCACTAATAGACAGAACGACAAATTAATTTTCTTCTAAAATAAAATTGTAACTGTAAATACAATTATGTAAAATAAGGAGGACTGAGCACTACTATTCAACAGTTTGGGGTCAGCCAGATTTTTTTAAGTAATGAATACTTTTATTCAGCAAGGATGCATTATATTGATTAAAAGCAATAATAAAGACATTTAAAATGTTACAAAATATTTATATTTCAAATATAAGTTATTTTCTATGTATGCTAAATAAATGTATCAGTGTTTTCACAAGAATATTAAGGAGCACAACTGTTTTCAACATTGATAATAATAATAAATTTTTCCTAAGCAACATATCAGCATATTAGAAAACATTAAAAAAAATCTTACCAACCCCAAACTTTTGAATTACAGTGTATATACAGTGTATATATAATCAAAATATATAATTTTTTTGGTTACTAATGTGTTTGCATACCTAATGTTAAACAACCTAAACACAAAAACATATTCTTACCCAGAATGCAAAGGACTGCAGACAGTGTTATGTGAGTGGTCCACTGTATCAGGGGTCCAACTGTACCGCCGCATACACTCGCTGTTGTATTCACGAGTCACTGCAAGATGCTGTAAACACATCCATATATAAAAAACGTATATATATATATATATATATATATATATATATATAAACAGAATGTCTTTGGAAACATCATGATGATGCATCTGGATGAAACATGGCTTCAGACAGGACACTCGACAAGAAAAATAAAAAGCAGAAAAAACAATGAGTGAAAGAGACGACAAAATAAACACTGCAGATGGAGGTGGAGCTTGTATTTCTAAACAAACAATAACACACAAATACAGATGAGCGAATAAATGAGAAAAAACTAGTGTGTTTGGATTTTTGTCTAATGAAAGGATGGAAAAGATGGAGAGAGATGATCTAACATGGTCACGATCAAGGACCTGTACCTTATATACATATATAAAAAACATATATATATATATATATATATATATATATATATATATATATATATAAACAGAATGTCTTTGGAAACATCATGATGATGCATCTGGATGAAACATGGCTTCAGACAGGACACTCGACAAGAAAAATAAAAAGCAGAAAAAACAATGAGTGAAAGAGACGACAAAATAAACACTGCAGATGGAGGTGGAGCTTGTATTTCTAAACAAACAATAACACACAAATACAGATGAGCGAATAAATGAGAAAAAACTAGTGTGTTTGGATTTTTGTCTAATGAAAGGATGGAAAAGATGGAGAGAGATGATCTAACATGGTCACGATCAAGGACCTGTACCTTATTCTGAGAGTCCACCATGTAGGAAATATCTTTAAATACACCCTGAAGCCAAACAAAGAGAGAGAAAATAGGTATACTGTGAAGTGTTTCTCTCATGTTGTTCAAAACCTAGTGATCTGTCTACCTGATCAAACCTGAATTGAACACTTGAATGAAGCCCAAAAAGCACTTTAGTAAAAATAAAAGCATTTTAGTATGCAGTACTGCACTCTCCCTCTTTCTATGTTCCCATAAACAAGGAACATGGTCATATACTTCACTCTAGGTGCAATACTGACCTCATAACAGTTATTTTAGGAAGGAAGGAAAGGAAATGGCTTAACCTTAAATAGTTAAGGCTAATGGCTTTCATGCTTGATACACATGCTAAATGAAAACAATTCAAAATTGAATCAAATAAAATCAGTGGACTAGTAACTACATCTTTGTTTTCTTTAAGAATTAAACAATTTCAGGAGTCTAGCCTGAATACTGGAGAGAGCAACAGAACTCTGAACAGGAAAACACAAAATGGAAAAGCCTGACAGAGTCCAAGTCTGACACTCCATCATTCTCTCTCTCTTTGTCCTTCTTCCCAGTGTGTCTATCCAACTGTTTAAGGATAGATCGAGGTCAAGCATTTTCGATTTCTAAAAAGTGCCTTTAAATAAACTCTTATTAGACTGAAAGTCTCAAGTCTAAGAGTTTATTTAAAGGCACATTTGGAAATGAGAATGTGACACTGGACAGGACAGAAGAGTGTGTTTGTGACTGCGTGGAAGGGGACCAGGCTTTCGTAAACCCCATGGGACCCAAAACAAAAATTCCAAGACATTTTACTCAGTTGTGGAAAGTCCTGACTGGACTTTGTGCAACTGTAGGAAGAATGCCAGAAAACGAATGGAATTAACAATAAATCTATGGCTTTTTATGAGTACAGGGTTAAGGTGAAGCAATTCTTCATTTATTTTTTGTATGTCGTATCTAGTTTCTAGATACACACAAAACACAATATCTGTAGCAAAATACAATTTTAATAATATTTTTCAGTACTGAATTCAATTCAATTCACATAGCGCTTTTCACAATACATACCACTTCAAAGCAGCTTTACACTACTGAATAAATTAATATATTTATAATCAATTATAAACAGTTATTGTTATTGTTAAGCAAAACTGCTAAAATAAGCTGTTATTTGAAATGTGGAATAATATATAAATATAAGAAAAAAAACTTAACTGAACTGAAATAAAACGACTAAGTTGAAAACAAGACAGAATATTTAAAATATATAGAAATATTTAAAAACAAATATATAGAAATATTTAAAAACTAATACAATAAAAGCACAACAAAGACTAAAAATTTATCTTAAAATATATTTAAAAATATATATATAAATATAAAATTATAAAAATAAAATATAAAAATAAAAGCTAATTCAAAATATTTATAAATGCTATAAAACATAATAATAATAAATTAAATTTATAATTTACATTCAATTTCTTTACTTCATCCACCATCTTTGATGTATTCAAGCATTCTGGGATTGCCATCATTACTAAGGATAAAGCCACCTTAAAATTAAAACTATAAAAGCAGCATAATTTGCCTTGGTTTTGAAACAGGTTTTGAACCTATAATGCCTTAAAATGCTGCCTATGAAGGAAACTAAAGCCCGGCTCACACTGTGCGATTTTGGCCACGATTTGGTCGTCTGAGACAATTTTTGACAATCCAAAAAGATTCCTATAATCCTAGGCTAAACTATCCTTAATCGGTAATTTGACATGTTCACTGACAGCTGATTAATGGCTGTTGCGATCTAATTTTACCTCCGACGAAATTCTGGCAGTGGCAGAAGATTTGGCACACTGCCCTGCAGCGTGACTTCTCCTACGACGAACGTCAAGTTTTTCAAGACAAGCCATGATCAGAATTAATGCTAGAGATTTCTTCTAACTGCATAAACTCCGGCACTCTCGTCCTCCACTCACGGAATTCATATGATTCGTTGCCTTTGCTATGATAAACACCAGTTGTGCTGCTGTTTTCATGTGGGTGTACAGTGCTGCTTACACTATTCTTCTTAAATACGACGGTATTTCCGCCATTCATATACTTTTAATGATAGCCAACATTACAGCCCCACGTGCAATGCAGCTCGCAGTCACTGAACGTGTATGGGTTGATAATGTAGAACTCCCGACAAGTTCTTGCACGCACCCGTTTTTAACACGTCTTGACTGTCGTACAGTCTGACATTAATGACAACTGAGATCCCACAGTGTGACATGATCATCATGTTCGTACAGTCTGACAAGTACAATCCTAAAGGACTTTTTTTTTTAAATCGCAGTGTGAGCCCGGCTTAACTAGGGTTTGTAACAACACAGTAGTGTGTGTGCTCTCAGGAAATATGATGCAGAATAAACACAGGCGCTTTTCCACCTTTACGGAGAACTGTTCTAAGAACGGTAAGGAATGGTTACAGTTATATTTCCACTTGAGCTTGGTTCAGCATGGCAAGATTACAAACCGTTCTCGGCCAAAAATTCTCAGCATGGTTGGTTAACAGTGCTGAACTGTGGTGGTAGAATGAGTGCAGTGACATTAGGGTTGCAAAGGGGTGGAACATTTCCGGAAACCTTTCAAAAATCCCTGGAATATTCAAAAAAAATCCTGGAAAGTTTCCAAAATTTCTGGAATGTTTCCGAAATTTACTGGAAATTTTCCACCTTTTTGCAACCCTAAGTGACGTCGCCACTCGGGATTGGTCACTTGTTTGTTGCCTGGCTACCAGTTTCTTTCTTTAGCTGGCAAAGCGCGCTATTTGAGCGAAGTAAACAGAAATATCTGATCATCCTCCATAACGCAGCTGCTATTTACATCTCATACCATCTGTAAACACTTGCGTTACCAAGGCAACGACTGATGCATTTGTATTACAAGCTCTGTTATCAGCCCCACAGTGGAAAATGAAACCATATCTGTACCGTATGGGCCTGAAAAAACGGTAAAGCTACAAAAACAGTTTGGCCCGACGGTGGAAAAGCAGCTACAGTACTGAATGAAAACAAGACAGTGAAAGCCACAGAGTGGGTGTTCTTACCGTGTCTTTGGTGGGCGCCAGCATCTCTTCAATCATCATGCTGTCCCGAGCGAAGGAGCTTCTGTTCAGAGTGTTGGACCTGTCTGAGCTGAAGGAGCGCAGACTGGAGTGTGTAAGAGGTTCACACATGTGCACACGCACAAGCAGACACACACAAACAAAGCGAAAGACGCAAAAAAAGGGACGAACAAACATAAACACAAAAACACAAAGATTACAACATGCAACATCCAGGGAGAACAAAATCAAACCCTTCAGAGAAGAGAAGAGAGAAGGGGATATCTGATGGACAGAGAGGAGGAAGTACAAAGAAAACAGAAGAGATGTTGTATGGGCAACATTACTATAACATTAACATTTAAATGATTTAATCAGATACAATGGTAACACTTTATTTTACAGACTAATTCTCACTATTAACTACTTGCTTATTAGCATACCTATTACTAGCATATTAGCTATTTATTAGTACTTATAAAGCACATATTAATGCCTTATTCTGCATGATCATATTTTATATCTGTTAATCCTACCCCATACCTAAACTTAACCACTACTTTACTAACCATTAATAAGCAGTACATAAGGAGTTTGTTCAGGGAAAACACTTAGTTAATAGTGAAAATGTGATCCCTACTCTAAAGTGTTACCGATACAATGTAAAAAGTATATTATTATTCAAAGGTTTGGGGTCGGTAAGATTGTTTTTGTGTTTTTGAAAGAAGTCTCTTATACTCACCAAGGCAGCATTAATTTTACCAAAAGTACAGCAAATACCTGTTTTCTGTTTTAATGTATTATTTTCATTTATTATTTTGTAATTTATTATTAGTGTTAATTTCCTTTTTTTCTTTTTTAAATCTTACTGACCCAAAACTATGGAAATTTTAACTGTATAATGTATATCTAAATGAACTGAAGTTTTACTCTGTGTAAACTAGTGCTAGTTACATTTAACTCAATTTTTGAGTGAATCTCATTGTTATCTCTATCTAATTCCTAAGCTGTTCTAAATGTGTTTTAATGCATTGATTTGTGGTTGTTATGGTGTTCCAGGTGGTTGTTAACTCTTTGAAAAGTAATAGCTATCGCACAATCGTGCAATCTGAGGAACCATTTATGTCAATATCACAAACAATTTCAGGTTTTGCTATGTGCCAAGGTTTAACACTTATTGCAACTGGTTTTGAAAAGCCCCTAATCCATGAGAAACAGTTATAGCAAGCACCACTAATTAACTGACACTTTGAATAAGTATTTTCAGCTCAGATCAAATTTACGACTGTGTGTGTGTGTGCACCCTTCTGCAGTGCTCTTAACAAACGCCTGGATCTCTGCAGGACAGCAGTCTTGGGTTGGCTGCACGGTGTGTGTATGAGAGATTGAAAATTCTGCAGCAATCAGCAGGATTTAAAGGTACAGTACTGAAGGCGCACACAGCAGAACTGCACACGAGAGTGTGTTTATGAAAGAAAGTGCCGGTTTGTGAGTTAGTTTTTGGATGAATAAGTTTACAACTCCCTTTCCATTCCTTCCTCTCGTCTTCTTGCACTTCAGCTTCATTCGTCCTGATCTGCATTGTATTTATGGTTCTGTAGCATTAAAGCAGCCGACTCACCCTTCTCTGCAGCACACACTCTTCTCATTTCCCTCCTCTGCATTCACTTATCTCTTTTTCCTTTCCTTCTTCATCATTCTACTTCTTTGCTATGCACTTCGTTCAAATGATCTCACTATGAACAGAGCCAGCAAGGCTGTATCATGGCTCTGTGTATTTGCATGCATGTGAAACAGCAAACAACAAATTAAGAGGAATATATGTTCTCTTACTGGCTAAGCTATATTCTAGTCATACGCCTCCTACCCAACATACTGCGACCAAGCTGCGTGAATGTGTTTGTGTTTAAGCACACAATGTGGATAACTATCCTCTCTGTGCTTTTCTATCAAAAGCACACTTGCGATCATAATCAAACATGCTTAGAACACCATATCTATTTTACATTTTTGCAATAAAATTGCCCTGTGATCAATGTGGTGAGTAATGATTAAATTAAATGTGCCGTCAGCGATGTGACAGAGTAATTGGCTTCAACTGCTGACTGATCAGCTTGACGTTTTTGTCCCTGGATGTTACATAGAGCACCACACAACTGAAACAACAGCAAAACACAACATATATGAACACAATCCATGCCACACTAAACAAAAACTGACAAAGCAACCAAAACATAATAGTTAGCACATTAATCATTAACATTTCAGACATCAATAACATCTAAAACCACAATATTTCACAACACACAACTACTGCCCACTTTTCTTGTTGTATTAAAACACTCCTCACATCTTTTGCATTTATAAACCTCCTTCAAAAAGGTTTGATGACTTTTGTGTGACCAATAAGAAGCTTGTTCGGCTTCGGAGCCAGATAGAACAAATAAAATGTCAACGCAAGAGAAGTGCAGAGACCAAAACTCCAGTTGAGATGCATGAATTTGTTCTATCAGGCCGAGGAGCTCAGGCCTCAGTGTATGAAAGAGATGAGATTCCACAGAAACGCACTGCACCAGATGACAGAGTGGAGCGAGGCATGATGGGAGTTGTAGTACGTAGGGAAAGGGGCAGAAACAGAAACGACAGCTACAGAGAGAGAAGCCGAAAGACACAGAGAGGAAAAGGCAGAGAGAAAGACATCACTCTTACCTTATCCTGGGGCTAGAGAGAGTGAGAGAAGCCAAGAAAGAAAAAAGAGAGTAAAATGTACTGGACGTGGCAGAAGCAGTGAGAGTTAAGCATGGCACTGAGGCTCTGCCACGGCATGTGTTGTGCTCCTAGACAGGACTGGGTGCGCGTTTGGTAAAAACAATCAACATTAGTAGCCCTATGTAAGAGCAAACAATGCCAGGCTGATGTTAACAAAACAAAGAGGCAGAAAATATGAAGCTCTGTACGGTAGAATATCATCCATGAGATCATCTAAATTCCAACAGCAACAATTCAAATAGCAAAAATATTTATATAGAAATTAAAACTTTTTTCAGACATGAAACAGTGTGTCTTACCTTGGCTAAGCAGCTGGGATACTGAGTATTTTGCAAATGACGTAATTATACCAATAATCTATACAGCTAATTTGACTCACATTTGACTATTTAATGCCTCTTGTGCAAGCAAGCCACAGTGTCAATATCCAAATGCAGTAAACCATAAAGCTAATTCTTCCCTTTGAGCTACACTAGAGTTCTGAGCACAAAACTGAAACGATCAATCATAACTAAAAGCGATAAAAAACTGAAGGTCTGCATCCATCAGATCACACCTTCATGTTCCCACAGTGTTCCCTTCCCGGTGATGATGTAATTGTTTTCAGTCATTTATTCCCTGTCCTCGAATGCTATAACTACTGGCACACAAAAGCTAGCCAATCAGAACTCACTGTCCTGTACAATAAGAGCAAATCAGGCTCCATTGTGCCACATAATGCTTGCATGACAAGAGTGTTACCTTTCCATCCTTTCCCACCGCTCCCTCACCTGCTATGCTCATCATCCATCAGCCACGATAAACAGATAATGACCTTATAAATGAGAGAACGGGATGTAATTCAGCACAAAACACCACAGATGTGCGTCTTCGGCCTTAAACTTTTATCATAAACTTACAACTTACAATTATAATATAAGGAACTACAGGGTACCATTTTAGAAAAGCATTGTACCTTCAGGAGTACAACAGCATTTTTGATTTTTCTGACAATTTAATATAATTTTGTGATCTAATCAGATTTGACTAGTGCTGTCAACAATTAATCACGATTAATCGCATCCAAAATAAAAGTTTTTGCTTACATAATATATGTGTGTATACTGTGTATATTTATTATGTATATATAAATACAAACACATGCATGTAAATATTTAAGAAAAATATATTATTTTTCTATATTAAATATATCTATATATAATATAAAATATAAGAATATAAATAAATAAATGTATATACATGTAAATATTTTCAAAATATATGCTGTATGTGTGTGTGTGTATTTATATATAGATAATAAATATACACGGTACACATACATATATTATGTAAACAAAAACTTTTATTTTGGATGCGATTACATGTATTACATTAATATTTTTATATTCATATAATCTATATTATATATAAATATATTTAATATATAAATATAACATATTTTTCTTAAATATATACATGCATGTGTGTTAGGGGTGTCGAAATGAATTGTTGCATCGATGCAGTAATGGACCATAATCGATTATAGACTATGACGTCATTCGCATACGCACTTGTCAAGCAAGTATTAAAAATTCACTCTTTTAAGTTCCTTTTTACTCTCAAAAGGAACTTAGCCTTTTCCCGCATATGGCACGTGTGTGCGCTAGAGACAAACATGGCGGGCTTCATTACACAGAATACAGGTGCATCTCAATAAATTAGAATGTCGTGGAAAAGTGCATTTATTTCAGTAATTCAACTCAAATTGTGAAACTCGTGTATTAAATAAATTCAATGCACACAGACTGAAGTATAGTTTAAGTCTTTGGTTCTTTTAACTGTGATGATTTTGGCTCACATTTAACAAAAACCCACCAATTCACTATCTCAACAAATTTCAACAAGTTTCACAATTTGAGTTGAATTACTGAAATAAATTAACTTTTCCACGACATTCTAATTTATTGAGATGCACCTGTATGTGCTGTGAGACACTTGCGCATTATTTAAAGGGTTAGTTCACCCAAAAATGAAAATTAGCCCATAAATTACTCACCCTCAAGGCATCCTAGGTGTATGTGACTTTCTTCTTTCAGATGAATCCAGTCGGAGTTATATTAAAAATGGTCTTCTTCCAAGCTGTTATTTGAAAGCGGGTGTTGCAGTGCATCAGTCAAAAAGAAGTGAAATAAAGCGCCCATCCATAATAAAAATTGCCTCACACTGCTCTGGGGGGTGAACAACGCTGAGCAACGCTGACATCTTACGCCATCCTCCCAGAGCTGCTTCCGTGTACAACTGTTGGCGCAAGCTAGATTAAAGTGATTATTACGTTTTGAATATGGATATTTTTCTTACAAAAACGCATCGATTCGCTACAGGAGGCCTGTGTTCACCCCCCGGAGCCGTGTGACGCACTTTTTATTATGAATGCATGCGCTTTATTTAACTTCTTTTGGACTGATGAACTGCAACACCCGCTGACTGCCATTAAACAGCTTGGAAGATCAAAGTCCATTTTTAAAGGGTTAGTTCACCCAAAAATGAAAATTGGCTTGTGTTTTACTCACCCTGTTAGTTTAGTCTTATACTTTAGATATGCTTTCATTTCTGCCGTTTTTAAATGCAGTATGTATTAGATGCGCGAAACTCACGTACTGACAGACTTTCACGTGCGCTTTGTGTTTGTGTGTCCTGAAGCTCGCGGCTGCGGTTAAATGCACTTGCATCTACTTATATGATACGAAATTGATGTAAACAGTCAGTTATGTTTTCAGAACAGGACAAAACATTTGATATGTGGAAATAGATCTATGCATTAGTGTGAATGCAGTCTATTAAAGCTGCCAGTGTCTATGATATCATCATTAATAATCAAATGACAATAATGCTGAGAAAAAAGAAAAACCCATAACTATGATTATCTGTAAACTTGATACTTAAAGCCCTCCCAGATACTGAAAGTGCTTTTTGTTTATCCCTTGTAATTGTCTTTTCCCCCCTTTATTATTTTATATTTGCTTGTATGTTTTGAAGCTATATTTACTTTTAATTCTTAACAATAATTAATTAATTATATATTAATTAATATATTAATTAACATAATTATTTTTAAAAGTTGGCTGCTTATATCATTTAAAAGGCTGGTTCATTGCGATTTAACTTTTTTAACGTTAGTTAGTGTCTAATGTTGCTGTTTGAGCATAAACAATATCTGCAAAGTTACGAAGCTGAAAGTTCAATGCAAACGGAGATATCGTCTTTTAAAATTCTGGCAGTTTAATGCCTACAAAAACGGCTGGTAGGGACTACAACGAGTTACTTCCTGGGTTCGTGACATAACAAACCCAGATAAACCCCACCTTCGGGAAAAGGCAGCAAAGGGGGCGAGGCCATGCTGCGCTGCTTTAGAGAAGAGGAAGAGAAAACTAGAGGTGCACGTAAAAATCTATTCATATATGAATCGCGATTCTGTCTTCTAAAGATTCGATTCTAATGGATTCACAAGTTTTAAAATCAATGTTCTAAAGCAGCGGTTCTCAATCCTGTTCCTCGCGTCCCCCTGCTCTGCACACGCGCTGCATCTCTCTCTCTCTCTCTCTCTCTCTCTCTCTCAATCAGCTCAGATTCAACAATGAACTGTTCCAATTATACACTTATTTTCACATAGCTATGAGAAGCGTTAAACATGGATGCGCGTGCAGTTGCCGTACTGTATTAAAGCTTTAATCAGGATAAAAATGTATATTAAAAGCTAACATAAGCAGTAGCATTTACAAATAACAGCTTATCTAAAAGTATGAGACAACAACAAACAAAAAACATAGGCCTACCATTAAAAGCCATGCTTGCACAGGTTCTGCACGATCCTCTTCAATAATATCGTCTGCTTCTCAATCGGGCTCAAACTGATAAGCGATATTAACAACGCCGATATTTACAATACAACCAGAGCACATGCCGCTGAGGTGAGGGGCGGGACGACTAGAAAAAAAAACTTGGCGGTTTAGCCAATCACAACACACTGGGCTAGCTAACCAATCAGAGCCCATCGTCTATTTCTGAGGGAGGGGCTTCATAAAAGAAGGAAATGATCAGCACGTTTCTCAGAGAAGGGACAGAGGCAGAGCGGTGTGGAATAAAGGTAAATTATGTGCATTAACTCATGTTAGACTGCACCCCATAAACACAATCAAGCCTAGAAAAAAAACAGTGAACCACCCCTTCAATAAAAATGCACAAAATAAATTTGATATAATTGTGATGCATTGTGATGCATCGTGATATCGAATTGAATCGAACTGTTGACATGATAATCGTAATCGAATTGAATCGTGAAACCAGTGCCGATTCACACCCCTAATATGTGTGTATTTATAAATAATAGATATACATAGTACACACTAGGGCTGCACGATTATGAAAAAAATCATAATTGTCGATTATTGCCTTGAAATTGTAATTGTGATTATTAATTACGATTATCACAATTTACATTGAATGATGTTTATACGATTGTTTGATGCAACTGCATGCCGTATATATGAAAATAAACAAGCTGAAAACACTAACTGAAAAACTTTTAGTGCTTTTCTATAGTATTAAGCCTCAAATGTCAACTTTACATCGGATTGGTTTCTTCTTTAAATGATAAAAAAAGTAAAAATATAAATGGTATTATAATGTTATACTAAAACAATGGAAAAACCCTTAAGATAACATGTAGAAAGAAAAAAAAGCATCTTAAGCACACAGAATAACATAAGTGGACTTTGAACGATTAATTGCCGCTTTGAACGATTACGTAATTGTGGCATCCAAGATTAATAATCGCGAGATTAGAAATTCGATTAATTGTGCAGCCCTAGTACACACACATATATTATGTAAACAAAAACTTTTATTATGGATGCGATTAATTGTTTGACAGCACTAGTAAATACCAAACCAACTTAGGAGATGCAACACACAGCTTGGTCAATAGGGCTGGGCTTTATGATGATATGTACTGTGATGACAGTATAAAGTGTCTATCTTTAGAGGTTTTGCTATATTGTTTATTTTGCGGTATGTAAATACTTATCTGCATTACACATTACTACTTATAGTTATTGATGCATAGGAGTGATAAAGAAACATGCATGAATGAGGAAAATACAGAACAAAATGTGCATGATGTTAAATAGAGTTATTAAGTACAATAAGGTGTCATGAACTCAATTTGGTCATATCGCCCACCACTATGGGCCAGCATCAATGCATTAGGTTGTACAGGCCACATATAAACTTTACATAAAAATGTAAAATTTCAAGTTAGAAAACGAACACACAACCAAATGCATAGCAAATCTGATCAAACAAAACGCATGAAGTGACCAAGCACTCACTTTGTGTACTGTTCTTTATTAAAGCCAAAATAAACTTACAGTCATAACCCTTTTTACAAAGTCTATTATCTTACAATATATTTCATTTATTTTTCATCTTGTGCATTGTATTAATATCTCAGTTTCAACATCAACTTAGTACTCCTTTTCAACATTTCAATGTTTTTGTATTTGATAAAAATCAGAGGCACAAATTACAGTTACAAATTCTGCAAAAGTTGCGCAGCTGTAGAACATAAGTTTTGGCTGAAGTGGCATAGCTGCATGATTTAACCTCTTTTTAAATATTAAATACTGTAAAATATTAATGTCTGCACTAAAAGTACAACAGGTGCTTTTCTGTTATTATTTGCATAACAATTTCTCATAGTTTCATCTGTCATTTAAAAACACTTGTGTCATGCACACTTTAACTTGAATGACACATGGTGAGTTGAATTTGTGTAATGGGAACAGTTTCCAGAGAACTAGAATCCCAGTATTTATTTCCAGTAAACAAGAGGATATGAAGACTGACAGCACTGAATACACAATGAATCTGACCGGGATTTAACTATCCCTCATTCCTCATCTGTTTTCTACCATCCTTCTCTTAAGCGATTAAGGGTAAGCGATTTTTCAAACACTTTAGAAAACTGATTCAGGCCGACTAGCAAAACAAACTTGTAGCCAATCAGCAGTAAGGGGCGTGTCTACTCATGATGTGGAGGAGAGAGCATTCAGTGCACAGGACGAACATTAGCCGAGCCGAGCGACAGAAAGATAGAGATGGCGGATAAAAACCAAAAGAGGAAAACATCTGCGGAACAAAAGAAGGCTTAAGGCAAGAAGTAGGACCCGTATAAATATAGGATCAGCTTTCCAGCGCTGGAGAGAACTCAAAGAGCGGAAGGCCTGCGATCGGATGCAGAGGTTGCTTTGTTTCTTCTCCATAGGTGAGTAACACTGTGTCTGCGCCGCAACAACTAAAGTCTGTCTAGTACACTGGACGCGACAAAGCGACCGTTGAAAATCATTTGAAATTTGTGTCAATACGTCATGAATAGAAAGCAGCAGCAGTTTTCTGTAGGGGATTTGTCGTGTCGCGTCACACCCCATCCAGTGTAGACCATATATATATATACTGTATATATATGGTGTAGACAGCATCACTGATTATAATGAGTTCCATAGTATTTTGTTGTGCCGTGCCACTCGCGTCCGGTGTAGACACGGTGTAACATTGGTTTTGCTTTGTTTCACAGAACTAATCGTTGCCTGGGTTGCATTCATATGTGTGGGGCGGAGCTATCAAAATAGGGGCGAGACCATTTTGGGGTAGGGGCGTGTTTGTTTTGGTGATTTTAAATGTCAACATTGGCTACCAGAAATCGCTTACCCCACCTTTAATGCAGACTAAAAGCCAATTCACAAAGACAGTAGTAACGCTTTTAGAGAAGACCAGCTGAACACCACAACCTAAATCTATCCGAATGATCATCCATCTAAACACCTCCAAAAAGCCATCCGCTTGTGCCATAATAACCTGCAACTCGCCAACTCCATATATATTTGCTACTCATAGAGAACCAGCATAAGGTACAAACAGCTTCACAAACAAGCAAGCATCATAAAATGTAAATGAGTTTACCTGGCAGAGCGGGCTCCAATACTGAAACCCAAGTACCCCTCCTGCGGCAGGGAGTCATCCCCCAACTCCCTCAGGTCCTGTGGCCGAAGATACTTCTCAGTCTCGCCGGTCATTGCATCTTCACCTGCAGGGATGAGAAACGCCCAAGGTGAGCTCACTTGAAGGTGAACTGATAAGGTGACCTATCAGCAGCTGCAGCAATTAGTTCCCCCCCACGTTGCTCTAATTAAATAAAAGCCAAAGCAACTTACAGTACACTTATTGCCAAGACAGTCCTGCTAGAGCAATCAGAGGTTAAGTGTCTTGCTCAAACACACAATGGTAATAATTTGTAGCTTATCTCTTGTGGGGTGAACCAACCGGACCACACAGTCTTCTTGCATCACACAACATCCAGCTCGCAGCTTCTAGATTATTAATCGATGTCACGTAACACCTGGGTGTTTTTCTGTCCCACCGTGAATAACAGAAACTTAGGTGGCGATATTTCACTGACATATAGAGGAAACGTTCTGCTGCATCAGATACCACTGCATCTCCTGCTATGAAGCAAGTTTCAATCACACTCCCACAAAAATCCCAAGAGTTTTTTAAACCTGATCAAAAAAAAAGAAGCTTAAAACCAGCAAAGGCTGGTTTGCTAGTCTCTCAGCATGGACTGTTTGCTAGTTTTAGAGGGGTTTGGGCCACTTTCATGCAGGACAAACTGGGACTCTTAACTTTGATAAAGAATATCTCTTTGGTTTTGAGACTTTAGTCTTTGCAACTTCAGGGATCTTATCTATTCACGAACAGCTTGTAACACTCCAAAGAGAAAGGAAAACTTGAAATCGCATCATATGACCCCTTTAAACCATGAAAGACCAGCCAATTATTTTTAAAGCTGTTTTTAACAGCAGGTACCATGTAATATGACAATAAAAATCATATATATCAATTGAATTTCATAAATTACATTTTCAAATAACACTTTCAGAAATATGACTGCCTGTATCTGATTTTATTGTCTAATTATAACAAACAAACAGTAATAAAAGCCACATAAGACGGTTTGTTAGTCCGATGACTAGTTAAATGCGAAGTAGCACAGGTATATTTGTAGCTATAGCCAACAATACATTGTATCAGACAAAATGAACGATTTTTCTTTTATACCAAAATCATTAGGATATTAAGTGTTCCAGGAAGATATTTTGTAAATTTCCTAATGTAAATGTATCAAAACTTAATATTTGATTAGTATTATGCATTACTAAGAACTTCATTTGGACAAAGGTGATTTTCTCAATATTTAGATTTTTTTTGCACCCTCAGATTCCAGATAGTTCAAATAGTTGTATCTCATTCAAATATTGTCCTATCCTAACAAACCATACATCAATGGAAGCTTACTTATTCAGCTTTAAGATGATAAATCTCAATATAAAAAATTGACCCTCAAGACTGGTTTTGTGGTCCAGGGTCACAAATGGGTTTTTGGGCACTTTTAATATGATCAGATAGGCTGGAGGACCTGTTTAAACCAGCAAAACTGTTTTGTTGTTTTCTCTAGTTTAATAAAATAATCAGTTGTAACGGTTTTTACGATAAAACACTTCTAGAAAGCAACGGATGCGTTAGCTCTCCGCCTAGACATTATCGTAGATATAACGCCGTCTAGGCAGACAGCTCGATAGGCTTCGGACAGTCGTTATTTTTATGAGACAAGGACTCGCCTATGTTGCATAAAATGACGTCTAGGTAGCTCTGACGGTTTTAAGACACAGCCAACATCTTTTTCGTATCTCTCATAAACGCGACTCTCGCTTGTCCTCTCTCTCCGTGCTGCAGCCCCTCCCCTCCCGCTACTGAACTCCTCCGTTTCCCTAACCGGCTCGCTAATACCTTTCTACTCCGGTACCGAATTAACGACTTAATGACAACGAACAGTCATGACAAAGACTAATAGATCACCCTGTCTAAAAACAGAAGACACTCTATTTGACGCCATTCTGAGTTTCAAAAGTGTATATTTAAATAATATATCCGAGCAGCGTCCAGCCGGTAAACGCTGCATGCAGCAGAGACCCAAAACACCGCAGTATTCTGACACAGCGACAGTCCTATCAACACTCACATAAAAGCGCTGCCATATCCCACTCCAACAAAGATATATATATATATATCCGTTATTAGAGTATTTCTCCGATTATTTGTTCAGCTCTCAGATGAAGCCTGTATCCTCCGAGAAAAAGACTGATGATGAGGACTCTATTCGGGGTGCTCATGTGAGAGTCGGTCGTCCCGAGTCGACCAGAACTCTCGTAGCACTGGATGTACATGCGTATGTGCGAGATTTACATCCGTTCATTCGCCTAAAATAAAGGCAGCCTGGGTCAAGCGAAGGAGGATCTACCAAAGCTGCACTCTCACATGTCAGGGGAGCTCTGCTCTCTTTCCAATCCAGCCTCGCGCGCGCGCAGAAACAGAGCAGCCCCAACGTGTGTGTGTGTGTGTGTGTGTGTTGCTAAAGATTTTGCAGGTCTAGCAGCAAGTGCAAGGTGGTAAGAAGACACCAAGTACTGTCAACATAGTTCTCTCAAGAGAATGAAGGGAGTCACTGCAAGCACTTTTCTAATATATGCGTGTTCTGGTTTGTCTGTACTTCTGAGGGTCAAATATTTTTAACAATCTCCTCACAAATACAAAGAAACCTGTTGATAACTGACTTGTGTGGACCACTTTCTTCACTATTTGAAATGCTCTTATCTGAATCGTGTTATGCTTTACATTATATCTAATCATAGGTGTTGACAACCCCTACTTTCAGGCCTTCAGGTTGAAATCCATGCCTGAATCTTACAAAGTTAACATGTCTGTGCCAGTGTTGTTATTGTTAACAAAACATAATCTAAACAAAATTTAAAGTGCTTCTTTGGCAACTAACAGACTCTGACAACTAATAAAACAAAGGCATATAACAAAATTGCTAATACTAAAATGAAAACTGAAAATATAAATTAAATTTATAATATTAATAAAGAATTTGTGTATACAAAATACAAAAATAACATTTCTCGCTGAGTCTGTGTAAGGGTTGAATCTAAATTATAAAAAAACGGTGTCCCCTCTAATATAGCATCATAAGACAAGTGTGTGTATGTGGATAGTTCTTTAAACAGATAAATGTTGTCTTTTATCAGCTAATGTCAAGGTCTCCTCAGACACTCACACTCAGAGTCACTATAGAACATTCATGAAACTCATTACAAAGTGCTAAAGAACATTACATAACTGTAAGGAAGTTCACCCCTTCTAAGTACTGTACTTACAGTGCATGCACGCAACATCTCCTTTTAACCATGTGTGTAATTTGCTGAACTAGGCACTGTGCTCTTGGACGTTTGTGGGACGCATCAGGCTTTGATATTTAATACATGAAATATCACCATTAAGACATTAAACTGGCTGTGATAAAATGATAAAATAATAAAAACGTAATAAAGAGATTAAATACAGGGTTCCCACAGCCCCAAAATTTTAAAAGTGTAATTTCCAGACCTGGAATAATCATGTAAAAACAATTTTAATACATAATTGGAAAAAAATAAATAAAGGAAAAATAAAATAAAAAAGTTACAATTTCTATTGTCAATATAAATGTTATATTTATGTCAGTAAAATTATATATGCAATTTAAAAAGCTAAGCTTTTCAATAATTATGATTTTATTTAAAAGTTTAAATTATCACTATCCAGTCATTACAAACAACTGGTAAAGTCATGGAAATGTTGCCTTGGTAAACTATCTGAAATATAAGTTTAAGGTAAAACACAAAAATTACTAATAAAATCTAAAACTAAACTAAGGCTAAAATGGAAATAAAGATAAATTAAAGCTAAATAGTAATATTTTAAAACAACAAAAGCTAATAAATTAACAAAAATGTACCTAAAATTAAAATGTAAGCATAAAACATAAAAATATTAATATATAAAAATAAATAAATAAATGTAAGCATAAAACATAAAAATATTAATATATAAAAATAAATAAATAAATAAAAGATTAATATAAAAATATTAATCAAAATTATTTTTAAAAATGTATTATATATAAATAATACTAAAATAACACTGGTTAGAAAGTCTAGGAACACTGCACATGTAATCATCTTAATTAAAATCTAGAAATGCAAAAAGTTTCTGCAAGGAAGGACTAGGTTTAGGGTATAGCAAATATAATAAGCGCAATATAAAAACAATAAATGTAAGTAGACTCCACCATAATATGACAACTAACAGCTGTATGAGTTACAAACTGTATCCTCCGAGAAAAAGACTGATGATGAGGACTCTATTCGGGGTGCTCATGTGAGAGTCGGTCGTCCCGAGTCGACCAGAACTCTCGTAGCACTGGATGTACATGCGTATGTGCGAGATTTACATCCGTTCATTCGCCTAAAATAAAGGCAGCCTGGGTCAAGCGAAGGAGGATCTACCAAAGCTGCACTCTCACATGTCAGGGGAGCTCTGCTCTCTTTCCAATCCAGCCTCGCGCGCGCGCAGAAACAGAGCAGCCCCAACGTGTGTGTGTGTGTGTGTGTGTGTGTTGCTAAAGATTTTGCAGGTCTAGCAGCAAGTGCAAGGTGGTAAGAAGACACCAAGTACTGTCAACATAGTTCTCTCAAGAGAATGAAGGGAGTCACTGCAAGCACTTTTCTAATATATGCGTGTTCTGGTTTGTCTGTACTTCTGAGGGTCAAATATTTTTAACAATCTCCTCACAAATACAAAGAAACCTGTTGATAACTGACTTGTGTGGACCACTTTCTTCACTATTTGAAATGCTCTTATCTGAATCGTGTTATGCTTTACATTATATCTAATCATAGGTGTTGACAACCCCTACTTTCAGGCCTTCAGGTTGAAATCCATGCCTGAATCTTACAAAGTTAACATGTCTGTGCCAGTGTTGTTATTGTTAACAAAACATAATCTAAACAAAATTTAAAGTGCTTCTTTGGCAACTAACAGACTCTGACAACTAATAAAACAAAGGCATATAACAAAATTGCTAATACTAAAATGAAAACTGAAAATATAAATTAAATTTATAATATTAATAAAGAATTTGTGTATACAAAATACAAAAATAACATTTCTCGCTGAGTCTGTGTAAGGGTTGAATCTAAATTATAAAAAAACGGTGTCCCCTCTAATATAGCATCATAAGACAAGTGTGTGTATGTGGATAGTTCTTTAAACAGATAAATGTTGTCTTTTATCAGCTAATGTCAAGGTCTCCTCAGACACTCACACTCAGAGTCACTATAGAACATTCATGAAACTCATTACAAAGTGCTAAAGAACATTACATAACTGTAAGGAAGTTCACCCCTTCTAAGTACTGTACTTACAGTGCATGCACGCAACATCTCCTTTTAACCATGTGTGTAATTTGCTGAACTAGGCACTGTGCTCTTGGACGTTTGTGGGACGCATCAGGCTTTGATATTTAATACATGAAATATCACCATTAAGACATTAAACTGGCTGTGATAAAATGATAAAATAATAAAAACGTAATAAAGAGATTAAATACAGGGTTCCCACAGCCCCAAAATTTTAAAAGTGTAATTTCCAGACCTGGAATAATCATGTAAAAACAATTTTAATACATAATTGGAAAAAAATAAATAAAGGAAAAATAAAATAAAAAAGTTACAATTTCTATTGTCAATATAAATGTTATATTTATGTCAGTAAAATTATATATGCAATTTAAAAAGCTAAGCTTTTCAATAATTATGATTTTATTTAAAAGTTTAAATTATCACTATCCAGTCATTACAAACAACTGGTAAAGTCATGGAAATGTTGCCTTGGTAAACTATCTGAAATATAAGTTTAAGGTAAAACACAAAAATTACTAATAAAATCTAAAACTAAACTAAGGCTAAAATGGAAATAAAGATAAATTAAAGCTAAATAGTAATATTTTAAAACAACAAAAGCTAATAAATTAACAAAAATGTACCTAAAATTAAAATGTAAGCATAAAACATAAAAATATTAATATATAAAAATAAATAAATAAATGTAAGCATAAAACATAAAAATATTAATATATAAAAATAAATAAATAAATGTAAGCATAAAACATAAAAATATTAATATATAAAAATAAATAAATAAATGTAAGCATAAAACATAAAAATATTAATATATAAAAATAAATAAATAAAAGATTAATATAAAAATATTAATCAAAATTATTTTTAAAAATGTATTATATATAAATAATACTAAAATAACACTGGTTAGAAAGTCTAGGAACACTGCACATGTAATCATCTTAATTAAAATCTAGAAATGCAAAAAGTTTCTGCAAGGAAGGACTAGGTTTAGGGTATAGCAAATATAATAAGCGCAATATAAAAACAATAAATGTAAGTAGACTCCACCATAATATGACAACTAACAGCTGTATGAGTTACAAAATCAGATCGGGGATCAAAGGTGCAGTGTTTATTGCTTCTGACCGACATAAGACCTACATGCACAGCTTAATGGGATTACACAGATAACTTCCAGGATAACCTATGGATCTATTATAGGCGTCTGCTGTTAATACACACACACACACACACACACATGCACTAATGCACACTTTACCTCTCAGCACTGCTAAGACAGCAGTTTCAACACTAGACTTTTTACAGCTTTGTCATATTCCAAGACTATGTCTCTATCCCTCTCCATTTTGCATGTCTCTCTCGCTCTCAGGTAGAGGGGTGACTCCTGTGGGCCAAGTCAGTGTCACCTGCGGCATTGTGAGCGTATCTGCTGACACACACGGTAACCATATACCCTCATCCCTCCAAGTAACCATGGAGAGGAGTACAATGAGGGACATCAAGCTCATGAATATTTCAGCATTGCACCAGGAGACAAGAGAGAGAGTTTGGCATCATAGTCAACACGTGGAGTGTTTTCTTCTCCTCCTGACACCAGCTTCACTGTATCCCAGGCAACTGTATGAGTCACATACAGGATTTTGTGGGCATCTGTTATTGTGTTTCTATGTGTGAGCATTTGTAAATATGTTTTTATAACTATGAAAAAAACTGTGTGTGTGAGTGTCAAGTTGGCTTAGACAGGAAATCACAGCAATCACACTCTGGTTATGTGCATACAGACGAAACACACACAGCGCACTGCAAAGCCAGGCGAGAGGAACGCATCTAAGCCGAGTGAGTGTGTGCGTGAAGCGAGGGATCATTATAAAGGGGAGGAAAAAACAGAACTGCAGAAGTTTGTACCTTCTTCCCCATCAGCCTGAGCTTCATGATTTTTCATAGCTGTCAAACATACAGTACACAGCAATAGGTTAAATGTGCACGCGCTCTCTCTCTCTCTCTCTCTCTCTCTTTCTCTCTCTCTCTCTCTCACACACACACACACATACAGAATAATGAAGGCAGATAGTGTTAGCCCAGTGATCATGGTGCAAGCTAGTGGACAGCTGTCAAAATAACAATTTGAATATAAAATATAAATAATATTTTAACAACTGCCTCACTAACTCAGTGTGCAAATGGTGACAGCAGAGTAAAGAGATCTTTACATTAGTATAAACCAATATAGTTAACCAAGAAAGAGTGAAACTGTGTGTGTGTGTGTGTGTGTGCTTAGTCAGCTTTACCTTCATCATCAGACATGTCGAGGAACTCATTCATGGTCTCCGGGACATTGATCTTGTGTTTCTCAGTTACAGGCTGGTCAAAAATGGAAAATATGCAAAATATGAGTTTGAGTTCCATGAAAATAAATAGCATACAATTGATAATTATATTCATAATATGACATAATACAACTTGTTTTTAAAATCAATGACATAATACAGATGTAAAAATTCTGGCTTATATCGATAAGCCGATAATTACTTTTATGTTAGTTCTGATAACCAATATATTATATAAATATATAGGAATGTTAAATTATATTATAATATTATATTATAAATATAAATTTAATAATTAAAATTATATTATAACATTAATATTAAACAAATACATTAAAAATATAACAGTAAAAAACTAAAATCAATAATTTTAGATGCTCAGTAATTTAGAATGTGTTAATGAATTATTTCTGTTTATAAAGGTTAACTTTAACTTTGGCATTAGATGATTGCAAAACTAATCTTAATAGAAAAAAAACTGAATGACTAAATATCCAATAACACTTGAAACATAGTATATTCAAAATTCAATTTGAAGTGTAATTTTAAAAAAAAACATAGCATGGCTTACAGTTTTAAAATGAAGTTAAGAAATAATGTAAGAATTAAATTTTTTGCTCAGAAGTGATTAGCATGATGTGGCTGGTTGGTGTGGATTTGATTCAGAATGCAAATTGCATACAATACAAATTGCCTGGTATTAATTTCTATGGTAACTTTGGACATTGAGGGGAGAGGATGTTGATGGAAGTAGGTCAGGATGTGCAGATGGTGGCGCAGGCTGAATATGTTACCGTGGCAGTGAGGTTTTCATCTGTAACTCCTCTCAGCGTGTCCACTACGGAGATGTACCCCAGTCGTCGAGCGATGGAGAGAGCTGTGTTCCCATTCTGCCACACACAAACGCAAAACAAAGACTTTACATCTATATATGAGGCATTTTATATGTAGCATATGTAAATGTAGGTATTATAAGCATAAAAGAGTGATATTTGTGTTTATATTAAAGGTACGCTACTGTAAATGCCTTTACTGTGACTTTTGATTAATTTAATGCATCCTAGTTTAAAGGGGTCCTATTATGCTCTTTTACAATGTCTTGAATTTGTTTTGGGGGTGTACTAGAGCATGCTCTCATGCTTGGTGGTTCGAAAAACTCATTATCATTTACATAATTTACATTATTACAATACCTTTCTCCCCATCCTGGCACAAACGGCTCGATTAGTTCCGGGTTTGATGAAGGCCCGCCTTCCGGAAAACGAAATGTGATGTGATTGGTTAGCTGTCCCAGTGCTTTGTGATTGGCGAACAGCTTATTAGACGGTGTTTCAGTACTGCCCCGCCCCTTGCCAAAGCAGCAAGTTCCGTCTGCTCCGGTTTAGTTAAGGATGGCGATCATGGTGCAAGCTAGTGGGGAAGCTGTCAAAATAACTACATTTGAATATACCGCTGGATGCAAGACAAATTTAAATAATATTTTAACAACTGCCTCACTGACTCAGTGTGCAAAGGGTCACACCAGAGAGTTCTGTAAAGAGTTCTTCACAGCAGTATACACCAATATAGTTCACAAAGAAAGAGTGAAACTGTGTGTGTGTGTATGTGTGTGAGTGAGTGATTTTAGACCAGCACTTAGCTTTACCTTCATCATCAGACATGTCGAGGAACTCATTCATGGTCTCCGGGACATTGATCTTGTGTTTCTCAGTTACAGGCTGGTCAAAAATGGAAAATATGCAAAATATGAGTTTTTATGACATAATACAACTTGTTTTTAAAATCAATGACATAATACAGATGTAAAAATTCTGGCTTATATCGATAAGCCGATAATTACTTTTATGTTAGTTCTGATAACCAATATATTATATAAATATATAGGAATGTTAAATTATATTATAATATTATATTATAAATATAAATTTAATAATTAAAATTATATTATAACATTAATATTAAACAAATACATTAAAAATATAACAGTAAAAAACTAAAATCAATAATTTTAGATGCTCAGTAATTTAGAATGTGTTAATGAATTATTTCTGTTTATAAAGGTTAACTTTAACTTTGGCATTAGATGATTGCAAAACTAATCTTAATAGAAAAAAAACTGAATGACTAAATATCCAATAACACTTGAAACATAGTATATTCAAAATTCAATTTGAAGTGTAATTTTAAAAAAAAACATAGCATGGCTTACAGTTTTAAAATGAAGTTAAGAAATAATGTAAGAATTAAATTTTTTGCTCAGAAGTGATTAGCATGATGTGGCTGGTTGGTGTGGATTTGATTCAGAATGCAAATTGCATACAATACAAATTGCCTGGTATTAATTTCTATGGTAACTTTGGACATTGAGGGGAGAGGATGTTGATGGAAGTAGGTCAGGATGTGCAGATGGGCTGAATATCTGAATATGTTACCGTGGCAGTGAGGTTTTCATCTGTAACTCCTCTCAGCGTGTCCACTACGGAGATGTAGTCGAGCGATCGAGCGATGGAGAGAGCTGTGTTCCCATTCTGCCACACACAAACGCAAAACAAAGACTTTACATCTATATATGAGGCATTTTATATGTAGCATATGTAAATGTAGGTATTATAAGCATAAAAGAGTGATATTTGTGTTTATATTAAAGGTACGCTACTGTAAATGCCTTTACTGTGACTTTTGATTAATTTAATGCATCCTAGTTTAAAGGGGTCCTATTATGCTCTTTTACAATGTCTTGAATTTGTTTTGGGGGTGTACTAGAGCATGCTCTCATGCTTGGTGGTTCGAAAAACTCATTATCATTTACATAATTTACATTATTACAATACCTTTCTCCCCATCCTGGCACAAACGGCTCCATTAGGTCCGGGTTTGATGAAGGCGCCCGCCTTCCGAAAAACGAAATGTGATGTGATTGGTTAGCTGTCCCAGTGCTTTGTGATTGGCGAACAGCTTATTAGACGGTGTTTCAGTACTGCCCCGCCCCTTGCCAAAGCAGCAAGTTCCGTCTGCTCCGGTTTAGTTAAGGATGGCGTCAATATTGCCATATCAATTTGAGCCAGATTCAGACCCAGAGAATATTGAACAAGAGGATCGCGCAGAACCTTTGCACGCACGGATATTGCAAGACATATTAGAGTGGTAACGTTATTGTTCTTGGGGGTTTTTTTGTGGCTAAATCACGTTTTAGATCGTTTTAGGTCAACAACCACTTAAAAATAACTGTATTTACTATGTACAGATAAGTGCATATGTATTATTTTTATTGTTATTTAATTCTAACATTATAACATGAATTGCAGTGAAACTGTTATACAGCTGAATTTATTTATACCATAGTCCAGTGTTTTCCAGGCGGCACATATATATATGCAGGCGCTGTTGGAGTGATAGAGATCAAGGTTTCCTCGGTAACGGCTGTACATAAAGCAGCGCTCCGCTCAAAAAAAAACATTGCTTTATCAGACATTACATGCAAGATTAAATGAAAATTACATCAATTTTTCTGAAGACACCCACACTCAATGTATGGGAAACACTGTAGTCTCATAATTGGTGTAAATTCTGCAGATTACATCATTGTCCAGTATTGTACTGTCAGCAATTTATTATAAAAACGTTTTCATAATTGTAACATACATATTTACATACATAATTATTCAGGTGCATGTGTAACTACTTGCAAAAACTTGAGGCTACAGCAGCACTTCTTCGTCGTCGTCTTGTCTGATGCACTCAACCAAGCGTTCTAACCACAACCTTGCCCCCTCCCACCCCCCAACCATTAGAATTTCCGTAGGCGGGAATTATTTTAATGATATTCTAATGGGCCACTTTGTAATATCACAAAACCCGGAAAACAAACGCTGTAGTCCAAACGAGCCGTTCGTTGTAGTTCTTGAAAAGGAAAAACGAAATATCTCCCTTTGGAGTGGACTTTGAGATTTGTACGTTTGAAGATCTTTTTTATGCCCAAACATACACACGACACACTGACTAAAATTCAAAAAGTGAAAAAGCATAATAGGACCCCTTTAAGAAAAGTATTATTAAAAAAAACATACTCACCCCAAACTTTTGAACAGTAGTGTATGTGTGTATATGTGAGTGTGTGCTACAGTACACTGCTGACCAAGGTTAACAGCTTGGTGAAGCAGATATTCCCAGCATGCCTCAGTACTCACCACTGTGAGCTCATTGGGCGAAGCTCCATATTGAAGTAGCATATTAATGATGTGGGTGTGGCCTTGCTGCGCTGCTTGGTGTAGAGGTGTATAACCGTTCTATGCACAGAATGACAGAGAAAGAGAGTCAATTTACATGCAAAACAAGATAATATCTCTAAATATCTTTTGACAAGCTACAAACAGACTCACCTTTGTTTTAGCATTAGGCTTGGCCTGATTCTCTAACAGGAAGTTGGCCATCTTTATGTTGCCATAGTGGCAAGCCACATGCAACGGAGTGTAACCACTCTGTTAGGAGAATATGACAAGCAAGAGAATATCAGACACTGATACAGACATGTTGTACAGTCCACAATGAACCTGTAATCTATGGAAACGCCACAAAACCTGAACCCTGACCTTGGTTTGGGCATCAATTTCTGCTCCTTGGTTCAACAGCACTTCAACAACGCCTGACCTGTCATCCTGTGCAGCCATGTGCAGAGGCGTGAGACCGTTCTGTTTTAACAAACACACACTGTGAGTCAAACTAATACTTATTCTCAACCGTGTGCTGTGTGTATGCGTAATATGCATGTGTAAGTATGTTTACCTTATTGCCCATATTAACATTAGCCTGTTTGGTGAGCAGCAGGGACACGAGGTCCACACTGCCCTCCTGTGCAGCGAGGTGGAGGGGGCTGATGCCCTGACGGGTCACTGTGTTACACTCCGCCCCATATTCCAGCAATGTTGTCCCAATCTCCAACTGATTCTTCTTAGCTGCGATATGAAGAGGTGTGTAGCCATTCTAGAGCGAATGAGAGAGAAACAAGATGCAAAGATACAGAATTTTTTAAAATAGAAATACTATGCAGGCATGCAACAATCTTTTCTTCTTTTTTTCATAGTACTTTTCTTGAGTACACAAACCAATCAGGATTTCTCAAATTTAGCTAAACAGAGACTGTAAAAAGCAACCAAGCACTTCACTCCCCTCAAATTCCTAGCCTGTTACCATGATGACTACTTTAATATCAGTCTAGATACTCTAGATATCTCTGGGAGAATGAAAGCCATGAATTTTGGAACTGCAAAATCATATACTTAATCCATCTTTTTGTCTTGTTTTATATAAAAACATCTAAAAATGCTAAAACAAGATCAATTTACCTGAGATTTTTTTTAACATTAATCAAACATGCAGTCGCTAACAGGACATAATGATGGAAAAAAATATGAGATTGCATGAAAAATTGTATTTCAGTGTTTTTGTATTTGCTGTACACAGGCCTATCTAAATAAAAGGCTAAATCATCGGGGGGAAAACTAATAAAACCCCCCTCAGAAAACTTTTGCGATCAAATCACATTTTTCCCCATTACCATGTCCATTTACGAACTCCAAACGAAATTAAGTGAGATTTGATTAAAATAAGAATAAAAATATTTGAAAATAGGGTAAGAAAAACATACTTTATGCAAGACACATTCTTTAAAAATGTTGATTCTCAGGTAAACTTTTCATGTTTTTATTCATTGTTTACTGGACCACAAAATAAAAATGATTATAAAATGATTTTTGCAGAGCACATTGTTAGAATACAGCCTGTTTAACAACTCTTCTGTGCTGTTGTGTGTCAATTTGAGTTAATTTAGTTTAATTTTCTTATCAGATTTCCTGCAATTTAACATCAACTTTTCAGCCTAAGACTTCCTCCACAGATGTGATTTGTACATGGCAACAAAGTCACAAACAAGCACATTGTGGCTCTTGAGATGTGATTGTGTAGGGTCAATAATAGCTTCACTAGATTTCAATGGCAAACAGCACGAAAGGGTTAATCCAGCAACCCAGCCTCGATGGGTTGGAGAGTGTGTGTACCTTTGCAGCAGAATGAGGAGATGCTCCCTGGTCCAGCAGTAACAGAGCCACTCTCTGATTATCATAGTGAGCAGCCACATGCAGCGGTGTTAACCCAGTCTATAATATACACACAGACCCAAGCACGATCACACACACACACACAGACCCCAGCACGATCACAAACACCAGCATGCATACACACACATACACAAAAACACAGGACGCATGCATGTATGTCAGCACATACAGTACATGAGTGTGCACATGGTAGGTGTACACACACACGCACGCACACATACACACAAACACACCATGTTAAAGTTAGAGGGAAGAAATCCCAGCAAACAACATTAAGCTAGCAGTTCACTAGTTCACACATAGTATGACATGAAAAAACACTTTCACGGGATGAGTGTGTCTTTCCTTAACACAGATTAAAAGGAATAGTTCACCCAAAAATTTATTTTATGAAAATTTACTCACCCTCAGATCATCCAAGATGTAGATGTGTTTTTTTAGCATTAATCATCACTTGCTCACCAATGGATCCTCTGCAGTGAATGGGTGCCGTCAGAATGAGAGTCCAAACAGCTGATAAAAACATCACAATAATCCACACAACTCCAGTCCATCAATTAATTGATGTTAATAGTCTTGTTAAGCAAAAAAGCTGCGTGTTTGTAAGTAACAAATCCATCATTAAAACATTTTAACTTTAGACCCTTGCTTCTGGACAAAATATGAGTCTATAATCCATAATGACTCATATTTAACCTTAAGCAAAAAATTTAAGTTAAAAGATGCCTTGATGGATTTGTTTCTTACAATCATGAAGCTTTTCACTTCACAAGGCATTAACTGATGGACTGTAGTCGTGTGGATTAATTATAGATTATTATGATGTATTTATCAGTTGTTTGGACTCTAATTCTGACGGCACCCATTCACTGCAGAGGATCCACAGGGAACAAGAGATCTAATGCTAAATTTCTCGAAATCTTTTGCCAAAAGGTCTGAGGGTATGTACATTTTCAGCAAAAATTTAATTTTGGGGTAACCTACTCCTTTAAGCTTCTGTGTTGTATTTTCATATCTGCACTGTTGTACTTATTAAAAAGCATAATCTATGTTAAGCAAACCAGACCCTCATGACAACACAGCTGACTTAATGACACAGGAAAATCAGCTAAATTTGTCAGCTCTGTAAATATCTCTCAATAAAGCTAGTTATGACAGTCATACTGTGTAGTGCAAGAATAGTGAGGAGGAACCATTTGGGGAAAGGCTGACACAGATGAACAGACGAAGACAAATGAAGGTCCTGTCCCAAATGACGCCCTTGGCCCTTGTGGTCTAAAGGCGTCATGGTTTGGCTGGTTAGCTTGGCCCAGTTAGCCCCTGCTGGTCGATGTAGTAACTACACCATCTGGCTATAAAATCAGGTTTCTTCATTGAAGGCCATTCAAAAATAGCTCTTATATATAAAATAATGTTCTCTGACCATTTTTTGTAAGTAGACACAAGTATTTCATTACATTATAGTAAATGTTTTACCAATGCCCTATTTTATTTATTTTTTTCTTACTTTTGAATCATAATGACAAATGGGACACCACACGAACACATCAAATTTTGGGACAGGACCAAGCTGTGTTATGTATAGAAATGTAAACCACTATGCATAAATGGGCATATTTTTAGATGTGCTTGTGCATGTTATTGTGTGCATAATGTTTGCATTTGTTCACCAACCTTTCCTGCTGCATCCGGCACAGCTTTCTTCTGCAGCAAAAGATTCGCTACTTCCAACTGCCCATACTTTGCAGCCACGTGCAGGGGAGTGAATCCTTTCTGTGGATGTATATGTGGTAATGAAAGAAGGAGAGAGAACAAAAAAATGAAAAGATGCATATTTATGCTATTTTCATTATGACAGAATAAGGAGAATAAAGCACTATGCACACAAACCACATATAGTAGAGTCCAGAAAATGTTTTTGACAGAAGTCTCTAATGTTCACTTTGTCTCTTTATTCATTTAATCAAAAATACAGTAAAAACAGTAACATTGTGAAATATTATTACTATTTAAAATAACTATTTTAATATATTTTACACTGTAATTTATTCCTGTGATGGCAAAGCTGAATTTTCAGCAGCCAGTCTTTAGTGTCACATGATCCTTCAGAAATCATTATAATATTCTGACTTGGTACTCAAGAAACATTTCTTATTATTATCAATGCTGAAAACAGTTGTGCTGCTAAATATTTTTGTGTAAAACCTGATAATTTTTTTTTCAGGAGTATATGATAAATAGAAAGTCATTTATTTGACGGAAATCTTTTGTAAAATTATAAATGTCTTTAGTGTTTCTTTTGTTCAATTTAATGCATACTCACTAAATAAAAGTATCCATTTCTTACCAAAAACCTTGTAGTGACACCAAACGGTGATGTATGTTTCTATAATTTTACATGATGACTTTTATTTGTTTACTTTTTCAAAGTCCTAAAACTTTACTAATATCCACATTTAAATTCCAAATGTTCAATGTGGTCTCAGACGTTTGCCCCCACTGTAAGTGATTACGCAGTACACACCTTAGTTGCTGCAGAGAGGGATGTTCCCTGCTCCAGCAGGAGTGCTGCTATCTCCTGATGACCCTCACGGGCAGCGAGGTGGAGAGGGGTGTAGCCAGAGGTGGTGGCAGCATTGGGTAACGCCCCCTTCTGCAGCAACTGCTGCACAATCTCCAATTTTCCCAGGCGGCTAGCAATATGCAGGGCTGTTTGCTCATCCTAGAAATTGTCATTATGGAAATAGAGAGTGAAAGAGAGAGACAGAGCAATGGTAGGCAAAACTGAAAAGCTCATCTGTCATGTTCTAATCATGTGTGTGATGGGATGTGGACAGTGGTGTATTCAAATTTGAGCTAAGGTATGTGTCTCACCTTGGCTTTGATGTCCACTTTAGCACCATTCTGTAGCAGGTATCTGACAACATCAGCCTGGCCGGCTCTTGCTGCCATGTGCAATGCTGTTTCACCTCTCTACAACAAAATATTTGATGAAGTGCTTGTGAGTTACAAGTTTTAATATATTAATTCAAAATGAATTTTAAACTCATTATTACATAATAATATTGTGATGGAATATTTTTAATGAAAAAAATCAAAGAAGGATATTAATTTTATTATTCATAATTCCAGTATAGCCATTATAAATTATATTTAATATAAAGAAAATAATAAAAATGTATTTAACACATTTTAACCAAAACTTTACCACAAGTAAATTTTGTATTGATTTTCTCATTCAAACTACAATCACACTTAAGAAAAAACATTTTATTAAAGCAATATAATTTAAAATATCCAACTCAAAATGATAAAGAACAGTTATTTTGAATGACATGGGGAAGAGGAAGTGAAATCATTTGAGTCTTCGCAGGGCCAAGTTCAAAAGTTGGCTCTCACTCAACATTCATAATTTGTTGTTTTATCATGTTTGACCAAATTAATCAAACAAAAATATGTCCAACCAGTCACTTAAAATATCAGTTTATTTTTGTATGTTGTTTATTTTTTACATAATATATCATTCTATTTCATTTCAATTTTGTTAATTTAGCTTGAGTTGCACAAAGCCATATACCGTATTAACAAATGAAGATATTCCATGTCTAATAGAATGTTTATAATGATAGAACTGCATTTACAAAAGTAAAAGTTAAGTTTCACAGAAAGACTCACAGTACAAAAACTGTATCTGTGAGCGACACTGTACTTAAAGAGGAAACGTACCACGTTGGTGGTGTTGGGTGAGGCTCCATGATGCGTGAGCTGTTTCACTATGTTCTCATGACCCATAAATGCAGCAACATGGATGGGCGTCAATCCCGACTAAAACATCCAAACAAAACACAAACAAACACTGACACATATATAAAACTGCTTATGCTATGTTTTCCAAGCATATACACTAAAACTGTGAACATTACACTCATTTGTAGTGCTTTTCTGGTACAATATCATGTCACATAAGTTATTAATAAACATCCAATCCTCATATTTCTCTCATACCTCAGTGACTGCCTGCAGTGATGCCCCGTGTTTCAGCAGCAGTTCCATCACCTTCATTCGGTTCTTCTTACAGGCAATATGAAGAGGTGTGAAACCGTTCTGTTGATGTAGACACAAACATGCTCTGCTTGACTGAGATGCCACCACACCCACCTTTACCAAAAGTGGGGAACCACAAAAACCTTCTTCTGGTTGAACGATCCCACTGTATTCTGTAATAAAGCTGTGTGCTGCTGTTCATTTGATCAGTTTTAAACTCCAATCAAGTTATTTCTAAGGTTCAGGTCTATTTTTAAACTGTCATAAGCATGTCTGAGTATTACTATGGCAACATGCTCACATTGTGTCACCCTCCCTGCCACAACTGTGTTTTTGTCTCACACATTGTGAAGCGAGAGATTCACATTCATACAGCTGCATCTGTTAACACAGGAAAATGAACCCAGTCACTCCAAGAAAGAAACGCAGAGAGAAAGGAAACAGCAAGAGGCTATTTTCTCAATTTGAATGTGTATGGCTCTCTTTTTCTCTCTGCTCTCACCAGGGCTTTAGCGTTGGGGTTGGCTTTCTTATCCACGATGACTTTGGCCACTTTGTAATGTCCGCAGTGAGCGGCCACGTGCAGTGCCGTCAGGTAATCGTTGGTGACATCATCCACGGGAGCATTGTGGTGAAGGAGCAGCTGGACACAGTTCAGGTGATCCCCTTGGGTTGCCATGTGCAGCGGAGACAGACCGTTCTATAGCAAACCAAAAAATAGCAATGGGCATTTAACAAGAATAATGCTAATAGATTTTTAAAAATCTATAAAACCAATATATATGCTTTGGCACCTAAAACCACAATCTATGGTGAGATATCAGATTCCTGCAGTCAAGAGAAAATCTGATAGCAGAGAGGGCCTGATAAAAAATGTTGCTTCTGTAGAAATAATGGCCACATGAGGGCAGTCTCAGGCATGTGCAGAAAGAATGGGTAAACCAGCGATCAAATATACCAACACACACACACACACACATAGAGGCAAAGTAATTCTTGGGGTCAGAGAAGCAGAGGTCTTACTTTCGTTTTGGACAAGATGGGAGCTCCCCTGTCCAGCAGCATCTCAACAACCTGCTCATGTCCACTGCGTGCGCCACAATGCAGAGGGGTTAAACCATCCTTTACGTACACACACAAACACACACACACCCAGGCAAACACAAAGATAAAATGTTACATAATATTAAAAACGTACCCTCTGAGATCATACTCTTAAGAACAGCTGATACCACAGACAAACCTCAGCACCTCCAGATGCTCCACTGATACTATATGCTGACCTGCTTGATATTTCTTACAAAGCTATTCAACTTTAGGCAGTATAAAGTATTGCAGTTAATACTTCTTTGGATCTTGCCTGATAGTTACCTTCACTAATGCACCTACACTGAAGATTTATTTATTTATTGAAATATATTTATCGATTTATTGATATTAATTTTATTTTGACAGTTTTAGTGACCAAATTGTATTGTGTGCCCTTACAGGAATTCTAAGCTAATGTTGACATACAGTATTTACAAGGTGCATAATGTTCTCTTGGGCTCATCTGTGATATCACTGAGGTCAAAGGTCAAAGGGTGAGCTACTATATATAACTGCAGGAATGCCCTAAGAAGCTGCCTGACATTTTCCTTAAGGTGAAGCTTGCTGAATCACAGATTCATTTAGGCAAAAGTCTCATCTTGTTATTCCTATACTACTAGTATATTTTATATGTCCATTTCCATAGTTGCGCATTTAAAAGTTTGTGGTCAGTAAGATTTGATTTTTGGGGATTTTTGAAAGAAATTAATACTTTTATTCAAAATAGATGCATTACATTGACAGAAATGAGTTTCATTGACGTGACAATGAATACATTTATAATGTTAAAAGATTTCTATTTCAAATAAATGCTGTTTTTTTTATTTCAAAAGAAAAAACAAAGAAACCTGAAAAAAAAATCTTCCACAAAAATATTAACATTGACCATATTAAGCAATGTTTCTTGAGCTCCAAAACAGCATATCTGAATAATATCTGAAGGGTCATGTGACACTGAAGACTGTAGTAATGAACATTCAGCTTTGCCATCAGATATAAATTACATGCATTGTATGAAATATATATTAAAACAGAAAACCGTTATTTTAAATATTTTGCAATATTACTGTTTTTATTGTTAATTTCTTTATCAAATTCATGCAACATTCTTTGAAAAACATTTAAAAAATCTTAATGACCCAATACATTTAAATGGTAGTGTATCTACATATTGTCCAGCAAAAGTAGCCTAGATCTAGTGCTATTTTACTTCACATGTTGAGATAACCTTTTGTGAAAACCTCTCTACAAACAACAATATCTCATCATCGGGCTCTAAAAACTGGAACACTTGAACCAACTATAACTATTTACCAATATTAACATCAGTACAAGCAACCACACACCACCACTGACACAAATCTCTTTTCATCAATCAGAAAGCTGAATGTTTAGATGTGGAACCACGGCCTGTAGCTGCAGAAATCAAAGCATGCTTCAGCCCTCCACCCAAAGCATGGTCTCATTCCTCCATCCCCAGAGAGGGAGGGCACATAGCGAATAAGAGAAGAGAAAACAGGAAATGACACGAAAATAGAAATGGTACAACAAGGGTGGGAGCAACACTCGGGGGTGTTCTAGGCAAAGCAGGGGTGGAGGTGGGGGTCAACAGCTTAATGTTTATCGTGGGTATACCTCTGTCATTCTATTCACCATCATCTACGTTGAGATGTGAGGAAAGGAGAGAATGGGCAGTTAGTGAACACTGACATGTAAACAAAAACAAAGAAACAAAAGACACATATCTAAAGACAGGACTAAGTGTGGGTGAGTGAGTTAGAGGATAAAAATAACACAAATCACATTTAAAAGCAAAACATAAACTGCTCTTGATTACATAAAAAAATGTCAAAAGATACATATATTTGACCAGCACAATGCTGTTTCGGTAAGATTTAAATGAAATAAGTGATAGAGAGAAAAAATTGTGAGTAGTAGATGAACATGTTTGCAAAAACAAAGAAACAAAAGACACATATCTAAAGACAGGACTAAGTGGGTGAGTGAGTTAGAGGATAAAAATAACACAAATCACATTTAAAAGCAAAACATAAACTGCTCTTGATTACATTAAAAAATGTCAAAAGATACATATATTTGACCAGCACAATGCTGTTTCGGTAAGATTTAAATGAAATAAGTGATAGAGAGAAAAAATTGTGAGTAGTGGATGAACATGTTTGTTGCATTGACGTTGGCCCCATTGGTCACTAGCTCTCTCACCACTTCCGCCTGTCCTGCCAGTGAGGCAATGTGCAGCGCCGTGTTTCCTTTCTGGATTAGAGTAGATGGAGAAACAACAGAGAGAGAGAATGAGTGGCATCTCTCGATTAATCTCTCCACCACCTGCTTGTATCACCCCATCTAACGGGCGCTTTTGTCCCACTGGCATCCCCCCAGCCACCATTCCGTCCCCTCTACCAGAGTAGTGTTGTTTCCGCTGGCCTGTAATTTACCTCCACACACACACTTCATTCCTGTGGAGTGAATGCAGCACTAGAGGCTTTTTATACCCAGTGTGAACATGCTCACAGGAGTAGAGAACACCATGTGATATCAGACACAGATACAAACATCTCCTCGAGCTGGAGGCTCTGTGTGTGTGTCAAACTGACCTTGGTTGCTGCATCTACGTTGGCACCCAATTTGAGCAGCTCGGCCACCACGTCCACATGCCCCTCTTTGGATGCCAGGTGCAATGCATTCAACCCATTCTGAAACACAAAAAGCAGGTTCTGCTAGTTGTCTGTCAGGCATACTGCTACATAGCAGCACACTAGTATAAACCAGTCTGGACCAAAAGGGAAATATACACACATATCATATGTAGGCACTGTCGCAAATAATTGCCTAAAAGAATTTGATCAATTTTTTTTTTTCACAAAATGAGACATTTTTGAAAAATGTTAGAAAAATGAATATTAAACAATTCCTTTAAATTAATATTCAAATTAAAAAATTTAATTAAAATTAAACTAATCATTAAAGGTTCTTTTTTTTCACAAACGTTTTACTTTTCTTTTACACATCACAGAACAGCATGAGATCTGGCTGATATCACACAATTGTGACACTTTCCCGTGGCAAAAAGTTGAAGGGTTTCAGAAAGACTTCTTATTTTTTAATTATTTTTCTAGTAATCAAGGTTTAAGTTTTCAAATCCTTAATATCAGCAACACTACATGTCATTACAAAATCATCATATACAATACTGTTCACAAATTTTTTTAATGCTTTTTAAATAAGTCTGTTATAGGCTCACCAAGGCTGCACTTATTTAATCAAACATGCAGCAAAAACAGTAATATTGTAATATATTACAATAATTCAAGTTTCCAGCCTTTAGAAATCATTTTAATATGCTGATTTCATGTTCAATAACATTTTTTAAATTATTATTAATTAGTGCCCGATTATTAATCCCGATTAATCGCATCCAAAATAAAAGTTTTTACATAATATATGTATGTGTACTGTGTATATTTATTATGTATATATATAAATACACACACACATGTATATATTTAATAAAAATATGTTACATTTATATATTAAATATATTTATAAATAATATAAATTATATTAATGTAAATATATACGTTAATACATGTAAATATTTTCAAAATATATACTGTATGTGTGTGTGTATTTATATATACATAAAAATATACACAGTACACACACATATATTATGTACACAAAAACTTTTATTTTGGATGCGATTAATCGGGATTAATCGTTTGACAGCACTATTATTAATGTTAAATGTTATTAATGTTAATGTTAATTAAAAACACTCGTGCTGCTTAACATTTTACCCTCAGGATAATTTGAATGGAAAGTTATTTGAATATAATGTTAAAAAGCAGCATTTATTTAAAACAAATATTTTGAAAAATCTCTTTACCGTCACTTTTGATCAATTTAATGCATCCTTGCTGAAGAAAAGTACTAATTTCTTCCCCCCAAAAAATCTTAATGACCCCAAACTTTTTAACAGTATCATAACTATCATAGATACATGGAAGATAATCTGTGTATTTTGAAAGTAAAATTGTACAGTACAGCAACACCAACAGCAACACAGTACAGCTACTGATGAAAATGACATTTTTTCAGTGTTTACTTCCATCATTCTCAGTAATGATGATGATATTGTTACATCCTGTCACATTGTAGCAGAAATTATTCATACCTGATTACAGATGTTGATGTCGACACCAGTCTTCAGGTAGTCGAGGACCTTCTCAAGGTTCCCTGCCCTCGCTGCCCGCAGGTAACTGGCATTGCTGTCCGACTGCAAGTAATGAAAGAAAATGCAGAAGATGATTATTCCATTGACAAGGTCAAAGGTCAAATCCAGGGCAACTGCGGTCAAATCCGGATCAAGAATAAACAAACCAAACATATTTCCAGCTTTCAGCTCATTAAATCAATGAAAGGCAAAGAAATGTTTAAAAAATCATACCAACTCCATCTTTACTCAGTGCCATTTGCCTCCACAAACACACACACACACACACACACATATCCAGGGAAGCTTCAGCTTTAGTCTACCAGTCGACATCCTACATGGAAACGTACCAACTCCATCTTTACTCAGTGCCATTTGCCTCCACAAACACACACACACACACACATATCCAGGGAAGCTTCAGCTTTAGTCTACCAGTCGACATCCTACATGGAAACTACGATCGCAGCGTGACAGAGGATCAAAGTTCCACAGAACACCTAAAAACATTGGCAGTCCATATCTCAGCAGATATCCCAGTGTTCCAGCTGAAGATCCAGCCAAAAACAGCTCTTGTCTCTCATCAACGGATACGGAACAGAACACTAAATAACGGCTATTATTCTGACACAGGTTTCCGCCCACTTTCCCTCATGATCTTTCAGTCTCTCACTCAGAATTAGTTTTCTCTTCTCATGCGTATAGGAGAAAGAGAGCAGGATTAGGGAGAAAACACGACGAGTGTATGTGTGTGTGTGCCTCATGAATGTGTCTTCTTTTGTCAGCCTCAGTTTGATTTGGGGACACTGCGCTTGACATAAGAGGACACACAGCAAAATTTCAACACCGTTTACCTTACTCTCACATAAACACACACAATTTTATAAAGAATAGGAGAGGGTTATCTCAGAGACACACGCTCACATGGGGAATTCCTCTAAATGAGAGGCTATATTTAGTTCTCACTAAACCCAGGACAAACTCCTCCCCATATCTACCATCAATGTGTGTGCGCTGGCAAGAAGATCTGGAAAGAAAGGCTCACTTTCCAAAAGTAACTCAACTGAGTTTGACAAGAAGAGGCTATGCTGGTGTATTACGGAGATAAATGACATGCATATTCATCTAGCGACCAGAGCACATCGCACAGAAAAGGACAAATGTGTGTTTTTGTGATGGTGTGTGTATGCTTCTATATTGTAGTATGAGATTCACGGCTCATAATGAATTCTAAGCTCATTAGCTAGTCATTTACTCAACCTGTTCCACTTTTTGTGTGTGAGTGTATGTTTGTATCATCAGACACTTACAGTCTGTGCTGTATGAAATGATAAATTAAAAGCACACGCAAAAGATGCCTTTGCTCAGAGGGTAATGCTTACAGTATACAAATTCTGCCCCTCACACACACAATAAAAAGACTGAGAGAGAAACGATATTGTGTGCCAGTCTTTTTGTGATTTTCCTCTCTTATCTCTGAGTTAATTAGTTTTTCCAGCTTGTCCCTCATAACTCCATCCCTGGAGGATTCTAGCTGGGAAAATAACACCCACCCACATCCACACCCACTCAAATACATATAATCACAAAGAAAATCTGTATTAAATAAAGTGAGTGTTTGTGTCCTAATGGATAAGATCTGGATTTCAAACATTAATGTTGTAGGTTTATCCAAAGCATGGGTTGCCAGTGAATAGGAATGACCCCCTGTCCTGTTATCATAGTGCCCTTGAGCAAGACTCTTAACCCATCATTACTCCGATGGGATTGTCTGTTCGATAAGTATAATGAAAGCTCTAGATGAAAAGTCTGCTCAGTCTCTTATGCCGATTTATATTTGATCAAAAATACAGTAAAAGAGTCATATTGTGAAATCTTATTACAATTAAAAATAATTGGTTTTAACTATTTAAATATATTTTAAAATGTAATTTATTCCAAAGCTGAATTTTCAGCATCAGTACTCCAGTCTTCAGTGTCAAATGATACTTCAGAAATCAATCTAATATGCCGATTTAATGCTCAAGAAACATTTCTTACTATTATCACTGATGAAAACTGCTGTGCTGCTTAATATTTTTGTGGAAACCATGATATATTTTTACAGGATTCATTGGTAACATTTGAAATGTCTTTACTGTCATTTGTTATTAATTTAATGCACCCTTGCTGAATAAAAGTATTAATTTCTTTTTAAAAAAAACAGACCTCAAACTTTTGAACACTAAACTAACGTTAAACCTGCTAAACAAATGTTATCTTAAAGCACTGACACAATGCACACACACCACAACATGTAAACATTCATATACAACCTACAAAACAGTATCAGAGAACACAAAAAACCTCCATACCTGAACACTGTTCATAACAATCTTCACTCAAACTCAGTGATTTCCAATGTTTATCTTCATCTGAAGAGATCCTGTTTATCATCTGTATCTCCTTAGTATTACACAAAAACCATACATGCTTCAGAAACCACAGAAGATAAACTTTTTCTCACTAAGTAAAATATAAAAGTGGTTTTCGTGGGAGGTTGTGAGAAACTAGGCAAAATGTCTTCTGTATGACTGAGTACAAACTCTAAGAAGTCCCATCATGGACACACACACAGGTCATGAATTGCCATTGTGTAGTTTTGGTTGCACCTTGAAAACCTGCTGCTAAGTGTTACTTTCCGTAAACGTTAACCTTTATTGTTTACATGTACAGGTTTATATATTTTTTTTTTGACAGTTTCTAGAGGTATTTATTTTAGACATGCACAGTGGAGCACTTACTAAACACAAGTTTTGCTACACTGCCAGGACATTGCTAAGGTATTTAGAACAATTGTTTGTATCTTGCTATGCACTTGCCTAGGTTAAACAGCCACCACCTAATCTGTCTATGGGATTTTTCCCCACCTACAGTTTCTTCATCTTTGTTTTTTAAAAATCTTTTAACTGTGTGAAAAACCCTCGTGGTAACAACCTGTGTGTGAAGTGTCAAGCTCTGAATCTTTATAAATGTTCACACTGTATAATTCATCTCAAGCATGGAGATGTGAAAGGCCTCTCTTTTTTAATATAGTACGCATCAATATTTCAGTGTGGGAAATTCTGTGAACACTATGCATGTACAGTACGCACAGTAGAGTGGAAGCACTCTGTGCTACCTCACACTCACAGTTACGGACACACAAACACACACCCAGTGGAGTTACATAAGACATTCTCTAGGGTACAGCTGTTATTAAAACATCAGAGATACTGGACTGAAAGAAAGACATGAGGAAAGGGAAGAGAAAAGGTCATAGTTGATCAAAATAATGCGACACTACATCTGAAAACAAAATGTTAATGTCTGTACAACTGTTGTTCATAAAAGAAGAGCAGTTAAACAGCTGACCCAATAATACTCTAGTCTCTGCCTCTCTGTCTCAGTGTCTCTTCAGGTCCTAGATAAGCAGTGAGCTCAAATACTGCATGATCAGCAAAAAACAAAGCGACCCGTCAGTGTGGCTGCAGACAAGGCGACTACACACACACACACACACACACACATTCCTGTCCTCTGAACATCAACGCCACTAAATGCAGATACAGTCCTGAAAATAATGTAAGAGACAACATGTTGCAATTTACAGTCAGAATGAACCATTTGTGGTTGATTTTTGCAGAGGAGTTGGTCAGTTCAGACTGTCTGGTTCATTCATTTCGACAAGAGAAGCTGCTTGGTTGTTTAGTTTTAAAATCCCTCCTTTTCAGCATGTCTGTTTTGATTCTCACTTCACCCATTTTTATAACATAACATTCCTAAGACCTACTGGGAATTGATTCATATCCATTGTTCTAAAATTAAAATAAGTCAAATTATTTACCATATGCTATAGGCTTCAAAGAGTACAGATGCACCAGTGTTGAAATTCTGGATTATACCAAATCCATAATTATTTTCATGTTATGGCTGATAACTGATAAACAACCAGTATTATAAATCTATACTACTTTGTTTAAAAAAAAAGAAAATAAACTAAACACACTAAACACAATCATTACATGAGCACAGCAATTCTTAAAGGGCAAGCACTCTTCAAGAGATCAAAGGGTTAAATTGTTGCCATAATCTATCACTTTCCCTTTAAATTTGAAAACTAGCCATTATTGCAGTTACGTTAAACCATTAAGATAAACACCCTATAAACACAAATCCAAGACTAAGTTTCTCCAGACTCAGCATCACAATAAAATTGAAGCCCCATAGTCACAATATCTTTAAGAGGTAGATTCACACAATCATGAATGTATAGAGCGTTGTTAGGTAAATGAGATAAAGTGGTCTATAATGAACATGGCAAAGAGCTTTTAAGCACCAGGACACTGCGCTTGTGTTACCATGCATGCGCACACACACCAAGGTCAGTAAAAAAGCACTAGAGCAAAGGTAGAGTTGGAGTGCCTGACCAGCATGAATGTCAAAATGGTGGTAATAACACCAGCACACATGAAGCAGATCTAATTTTGCATGTGATTCAACCTTGACAATAGAGCCGCACTTCAAATAAACAGTTGTTCTCTGATATCTGTGAGGACCTTTAGCTCTGCAGGATCTGCAAACAAAATCTAGAAATCTGAGCCCAGTGAGATCAACAGATCAGACTTTGCGCCATTTAGCCCGCAGAGGATTTTAAAATGACCTAGCACTGTCAAATATATAATGTATTCAAGAAATACGTTAATAAAAGGTTTGAAGGACAAAATCTGACTGAGGTTGAAGCAGATGAAGAGCAAGAGCATTTCAGGATCTCATGATCCCAAGCATCCTCAACCGACAACCTTCATTTCCGAACCATTCCCAAAATGCCTATTTAAAACAACATACACTTCCCAACCATTCCCAGTCATGTTTGTAAAGTACTTACGGGTGAAAAATAGTCAGCAGCCTCTTCCACCGCCATTTTTCCTGCAGTCCCAAAGAAACCCGATCACTTACTTCTCTAGCTCTGCGGCCAGCAAGGTGCCATTCAGTCATGTGATGAGTGGAAAAAATGCCCATGCAGCAGGATGCTCAAAGACACG